GCAAATTTCAAAATTCGCAGTGTGAGGCACTCAGGAGTAGCATGGGCTGTCTGCATGGAGACCATTATTGAGGTTTCTTCCGACACTGCGGCAAAGCCCTCGTGTAGCTGAACAGTGCGACGTTATTTTCCAATCAATCAATCAATCAACCGACACTGCAGCAAAAAGATAATGTTTTTAACTGTTAAGAGGTCTTGGTACCCCAAAAATGATTGACCTAACGCTTTTTTTTATTATTATTAATTTTATTATTTGCACTATTATCTTTCGATTGATACATTATTTGTGCATGTCGGAAAGTTACAAGTTGAATGAAACTTCATTTGAAAACGACGTAGGCAGTTCATGTCACGCCTCCTTTTTAGAAAATAAAGCTAAAAAAAGCGTTTTGATCTAAAAAATCTTTTTTATAAAGAGAAATAATAACTGTAAAAAAAGAATGTGTAATATATTAAGCAGAGTATTAAAGAGGAAATACAATAATGTAATTATTTTTTCTTTGTGAAACGTGTGCATGTAATTTTTTTTAATTAAGGTATTTTATATTAATAATTTAAAAAATTCAGTTTTTATTCCTGATGTTTTCATACAAATGTAATACTTCAACATAATGTGAAAAAAAATTTTGTCGTGACAGAAAAAAAAAAATTAACAATTTTCTTGAATTTTCTTGCGCTTTCTAAAAATTTATCATTTATAAAAATGTATGGGTTGAAAAAATACTAAAATGGAATTATTTTAAATAAAAATATACAATTAAAATCTTAAAATGCTGTTTAAAGTTTATTTAAGCTTTTTATAATTATATTTTCACAATTATAAACTTTAAAGTGGTTTTTCTCAGTTTTTAACACGCTGGGATGAATGAATAAATCATTTGATGAAGTTTGTTCACCTCAAAGCTAAATACAGTTTATTCACTGCACCCAGGTACATTTATGAAGCTCTAAGATAAATATATAAAATGCAGGAACATATGGGGAATGATTACCCGCGCGATGCGTACACCAGCAGTTTCACCGTCTTAATCAATCTTTTTTCCGGTTTCCGGCTAGTGGGAAACTCAACTAGTACTGTCTCTGGTGGCGTCATCTGGCGGTCATTACAATATATAAATAATAAATATTACCATTTGTTACTAGTTTGTATTTTTCAAAATATTAGTGCATTCAAAATGCTACTCCTTCCACAATTATTTACCAATCACTTCCATTGTTTTCATGCGTGCTATATATAAAACATGTAACAAACTAGGAATCCACTCTGCTGTAAACTGAATATATTTTTTTAATAAAATATAAGGGATAGGCCTTTTCGTTGATTTTTATGATGCATATCAACATTTTATTTTTTTTTCTCCCAAGCTAATTAAGTTATAGTTAAATCGATCCCTAAAGTTGTTGAAAACATTCTTAAAAATATTACAAAAAAAATTGAGGTAAAAAATTCAATAATTACAAAAGAAATAAAACATTAAAATTTTCCAAATTTTCTTCAAAAAATTTAAGTTTTTAAAATTGTGTAAATAATATGTGAAAAATTTCATCTGGTATCATTTTTTAATGGAAACTATGCTAAAATATAATTTTTTTAATATATAAATTTAAAAAAAAATTCTTCAAAGGGTACAAAGCGTCTTTTTTTAACAACAAAACCGGATACTGGTGGATGACCATGTAGTTCTCTCAGACGTTTTGCAGTTTTGCATGCAATATTATGATAGACGTATACCCGTCTGTAAGCACGGAAGAGAATTCACATGGCCTACCTACATTCTTTATCGTCATATAGGCCCTACTCTTAATGCATTGGTGTGGCACATCATTAGATGCTCGACAGGAGCATCTCATTTTTGAATCGTCAGTAATTTGAACAGCCAGCGCTGTATTTCACAGATCTAAATATCGGTGTCTCTATTCTATCTTCCAGTCTTCGGAGGTTTCATCTTTCTTCACGATAATGCAAAACTGAATATTATCTGGCGTTCTTTATACGATCTCGACCAGAGTTTGTTCAAATGATTCTGACCAGCATGCTCTCGCGATCTCGGTAGAAAAAGCATACTGCTGTGCTTGGCGATAAAAGTTTTTCGCCAAGTTGCGCCAAGGATAAAACCCGCGTTCTTCAAACTGGCGTCAAAGACGAAAACAAGAGGGAAAAACGTAGTTTTCTAAGTGGCGTCAAGAGACAAAAAAAGTTGAAAAAACGTGGGTTTGTAAAATGGAATGTTCAATATTTTTGAGAGTTCCTGTTTCCCGCAGGGAAACTTAACTTGCAATCACTTGTTATGGTCGATAGCTCGAGTTTGGTTTATTTTTCAAATCTTAGCCCAGTACTGTTTTTAAAGTGGGATAATAAAAATTTAAGAGAATTAATTAATTAAGAAAAAATTAAATCATTGAAGTAGTGAAATTACATTGGGCGTGAAATAAATCCTTGTGAGTTTAATTTTAATTAGTGTCGGAGAAATTTGGATAAAAATAAAATGGTGGAGTGAATGCAATGTGAAAATATGCTAATAACGTTTCGCTCAGGCGGGCCGAAGCGATCCGTACCGGCTAAATTTTTGCGTAGGGGAATAAAAGGACCGACAAAGGCAACCTGCGCGGTCAAATTCTGCCCTCGGAATGAAGGGTTGCCCAGAATGGGCACTCTTTTACCCTGATTTGTTCTAAAATGGACAGCATAGGAAACATCAAAGGAAAAATAAGAAATTAAATACAAATTATTTCCAAATTTCGAACATCCATGCCAAGATTTTATCTCAACTCTTCTTCATATAAAAAACTAGAATTACTTTCTTACCTTTTATTCAGAAGAAAATCCATTCGTCGTGTTTTTACAATGAAAGCGAAGTTTCAAAAAAGGATTCGACAAGAAAACTGAAAAAATTCGTCGCTTCTAAAACGTAGCTGAAGAACGAAGCTAATGAATGATTTAGGCTGATTAACTAATGATCTACAATTTCTCTCAAACGCAAATTATTTTCATATTTAGGACATCCATACCAAAATATTTTCATTTTCGTTCACTCATTGACTAAAAGCAATCATTTCTTCTTTACCTCATTCATTCAAAAGAATAAAAAACAATTGGTCAAACTTCAAAAAAGAAAAACGTGGTTACCAGAAAATGGCTTAAGCCTTTCAACATGAATGTCAGAAAAAAAAATGACTGCTGTTCAAATCCTGAAAAACTAAAAAAAGTCTGGTCGGAGTAGGGTTACTACTTAACTAAATTTTCCAGAGTTGCCATATTTATCACCAAAATATTATTGCCAAGAAATGTGCCCTCCTAGGATCTCTCAACATTTCAAAATATCGAACCATGGGTTACTGAGTAATTAGGTAACAAAATCGCTCTCTAACAATTACCATTGCAAAGGTGTGGCATTTACTTAAGGTTATTCTCCTGATCTTTATTTCCACAGACCTATATATTTCCTAATTAAACCAGCTTTTCTTTAATTCCTAAATATCCTTTTTTAACAATATGATTTATATTGTTTAGTTCTATTCTTAAATTTTCTCAATTTACTACTCAATGATTGTTAGATCTCCTCACTTAAACTTAAATGCAAAAATAGATCACCTCTATGGTTAGCCATTAAAAAAGCTCCATTTAATACCGATTCAGTTTAACTTTTTAATCTATATATTTTCTCTCTTTAACTCGGACTCCTTCTCTGTAACTGGATAGGTTAGACATCACTCCACCCAATCCCATCACGAAAATGTTTCTAAGCCAAGATTTTTTTCATCTTTTTTTATGTATTGTTAAATTTATTCATATATCAAAGTAATTTTTCTTTTTCATTTTTCGCATTAGTTATAATTTAAATTTTTTTCATTATTAAAATGGGCAATTTGGAAGCATTTTAATGCCATCCAAACTGTCCTGAAAGGAGATAAAGGTTCGGAAGAACTAAGCGCGCCTACCTCACAAACTACATAAACTTGTGTCAGCATGAAATGATCTCCACATATATGGCATCAAATCCCAGTTCGATGCCTAATGGGCTCAATTCATGAAGTCACATGATAAAAACAAACACGTGTTATCCACTGAATTCAAAGCAAACATTAAACTAATTTTGCTTGTTGTTCTACTCTTGTAAAACTCAAGATAGAATTTCAAATTTTATATTTGGGTAAAGATGTTTTAATGTTAGGAAAAAAATATTCAAAAAGATTTTTAAAAAATCAAAGAATAAGTTTCTGAAAAGAGCAAAACTTGACAACACCAGAGCGCGTGAACTGATTGGCAGGTAACACTAGATAATTTTTATCGTGTGACTATGACGTCGTATCAGTTTTTGAATTGATTGGCTAGAATCACGTGGTTTTCACTATCATTTGACTATGACGTCGCATAAGTTTTTGAATTGATTGGCTAGAATCACGTAACTTTCACTATCATGTGACTATTACGTCACATGAATTGATCCCATTGGGTTAGACATGATTCAGCTGCCAGATGTTGAAGGTGCTTGGACTAAATTCGCATTCTATTTCTCCCAGATTGCCTAAGAATTTAGTCATGATTTTCATTGCTATGCTGTTTAAGTATAATAAGTTAAGTTTAAATATTTTCTTTCTTTCCTGGTATTGCAATTTGAAAGCCAGCAATATGTAAATATATGTACAACTATAAATATAACTAAGTCTTTGTTACTTTACTTGATTTTACAGTCCTCTCTCTTTCCCTTTCTCTCACTCTTTTTCAATTCCTACTATTAGCTCACTCTATCCCTACATATATTTATATATTTATTTTATATATATATATATATATATATATATATATATATCTTGTTCAAATTTTCAATCGTTAATAAAATACTTTTTAATCATCCATTCAACTTCAAATACATTTTTTAAAACTTGTTGTGAAAAACTCTTGATGTTCATAGAGTTTTTTTAAATATTTATTCATTTAATGAATAATCAAACATAATAGTCGAACATAATATATACAAATCAAAATCGCTCGCTGTGGCCCTGTAACGCAATGGGTAGCGCGTTGGATTTCTAATCAAAAGGACGTGGGTTCGAATCCCACCTGAAAACGTGAATTTCAGAAAATGTGTCTTTTTTTTACTACACTATCTTATTGGAATAATTCAACTTAATGAATGGACAAATTGTAACAAAAAATAACAGCCCAACACCGTATATAGAATGGAAAATTGCAAGGAAACTCGCTTTTTTATTTTGCAACTTAATATTGTGATTCTCTGTCACATGTATATATATATTTATATTAAGTGTAATTATTTAATAAAAAGTAACTAAACTAAATTTTTCTTTGTTGACCTAAATAGTAGGAATTGACTATATATATATATATATATATATATATATATATATATATATATATATATATATATATATATATATATATATATATATATATATATATATAGTATTACTTGTTCCCTCTCTATGTACAGTAGTTGTTGGGTCACAAATAAAGAACTCAAAAAGTCTCTCTCAGTGGACTGTAGTTTTTATTACTCTGTTGCTCAGCTCGCTCGATTTGACTCCTTTCTCATGGAGTCCGAGGTTACACAGAATAGTAAGACACTCTGAGCGCTAGAGGGTGCTCTACATTTACATACGTACACTGAACATGCCGCCCGGCTTTGCAATGTTTTTCAACATGCAAGATTTACACAGAACATAATCATAAAGATAACACGGAAATACAATTCTTCAAAATACAAACAAAACAACATACAAATGAAGACAATGTATAAAGCAATTGATAAATCACAGAGAATTTTAAAAAATACTATTCTACACACAAACATTACTGAAGGGTTATATATGCTACTTCACACACACTGTTTCAATTGGTAGAATGCACAGTGTTTCGAAATGGGTCTCTTAAATATACCTCTAGTGGTTTTGACTTCAACTACTCTTACTTTAGAATCCTTTCCTGGATAAATATTGTTGATTCTACCTAATGACCACTGACATGAAGGTAAATTATCCTCTTTTATTATAACCATATCTCCAATTTTAGCATTCTTTTTCTCGAAATGATACTTACTTCTCTGCTGCAAACTGTTTAGATAGTTTACACTCCATCTTTTCCAAATTAATTGAATTATTTTTGTAATTTTCTGCCAATTGTCCAACCTATTTTCATTTAAATTAGTTAAATCAGGCTCAACAATTGATGTAATTGATCTACCTATCAAAAAATGAGAAGGAGTCAATACATTTAAATCATCTAAGTCAGAAGATAATGGGACAAGAGGACGAGAATTTAACATCCCCTCTATTTGCATAATCACGGTCAGAAACTCTTCATATGTTAATCTAATGTTACCTACTACTCTCTTTAAATAGAATTTAAAAGATTTAACACCTGTCTCCCCAAAACCTCCAAAATTTGGGGCTCTAGGGGGGAGGAATTTCCAATCTATTCCTTCAGAGGCCATATAACTTGCAAGTGCCTCATCAGGTTTACACACCAAATGAAACATTTTTTTAAGTTCTATATTTGCACCCACAGAATTTGTTGCATTATCAGAATACAACTTAGCACATTTACCTCTTCTAAATATAAAAATCTAAAGTGTAGCAATAAATGCATTAGAGGTTAAATCAGTCACAATATCTAAGTGCACAGCTTTAGAAACAAAACATATAAATATACAAACATAGATTCTGTTATATATACCTTTTCTCTGCCCTTTATCCTTAATATAAAATGGGCCACATAAGTTCACACCTGACACTTTGAATGGATAATTTTTGAAAACTCTATCCTTTGGCAAGTCAGCCATTATTTGATAAGTGCAAGTAGGATTGGCCTTACAACAAATTACACAATTATGAACAACTTGTCTACAAATATTACGGTCATTCAATATCCAAAACTTTTGCCTGATCTTATATAACAAGGATTGTGGACCACTATGTAAAAACTTTTTATGGAAATACTCAACTATTAAATAAGTCAATTTATGTTTCGAAGGCAAAAGAATTGGAAATTTCTAGTTATAATTAATATCACTATTTCTCAATCGACCTCCAACTCTCAAAATCCCTTCACTATCAATAAATGGATTGAGTGTTTTTACTCGACTGTTGGAAGGTACCATGGCAGAATTTTGAATACCATTCATCTCTACTTTAAACTCTTCCTTTTGTACTAATTTCAATAAAAGCTATTCAGCCTTTTTTAATTCTCCTAAATCTAGAGGCCCAATTATTTTACTTTTTTTGCTCTTACAATTATAAACAAATTTACAAATAAAACTTAAGACACGAATAATTTTAAAATAGTCATTACTAAGGTTAAGTAAATTATTTACAAAATAGTTAGTAGCAGAATCAAGAAAAAAGTTAGAAAAATCACTACAGTTTTTAAGTTCACCTGGATCCTTGATCACTGCAACAGGTATTTGTCGTTGTGGGTACTGGTTGCTCATCAGAAATTTCGGACCATTCCACCACAACTCACAGGTTTTAAGTTTTAGAGAATCCATTCCTCTGGAAACGAAGTCGGTAGGATTGTCCTTCGCGTTGCCACATAACGCCATTGTTCACTGGAAGTCATCTCCGGGATTGTAGCAATCTTGTTAGCCACAAAGGTTTTTAGTTGATATGACTCCTTCCTTATCCATGACAAAACTATCATGGAGTCACTCCAAAGAAAAGTATTAGTCACATTTAATTTTAAAGCTTGCTTGACACGATGCACTAATTTTGCTAACAGCACAGCGGCACATAGCTCAAGTCTGGGAATCGTTGTTTGCTTGGTAGGCGCAACTCGGGATTTATTGGCAATAAGATGTACATGCATCTTTCTATCTGATGTTACAGATATGAAGTAGACGACAGCTCCATATGCTGACTGGGACGCGTCGGAGAATCCATGCAGCTCGATCACTTCCGGTTGCTCTACCACAATGCATCGATTGATGTTGATGTCATTTACTACCTGAAGTGATTCGACAAATTGTCGCCGTTCTCTATTGATTGTATCTGGAAGCAAATCTGTCCAATTGATCTTTATCATCTATAATTTTTGAAGGAAGATTTTCGCCTTCGCCACCACAGGACCTAAAAGACTTAGAGGATCATATATTCTGGCGATGGTTGACAAAACATCCCGTTTGGTATTTAATTCGTGCAAGTCTATTTTTACTCTGAAGGAGAAGCAATCATCCTTGGGGTTCCAATAAACACCCAACACTTTTATCTCTGATGAATCTGAAAAATCATAATTTTCGGAAACCTCAATCAATTCCGTACTATTTCCGCACCACTTATGCAAAACCATACCTCCTTTAGCGAAGATAATGATCAGTTGATTTTTCAGTTCTTTTGCTTCTAATAAGGTCTCTGAACCGGTAAGTACATCATCAATGTACATGTCACTCATCACAACTGAAGACCCTAATGGAAAATTCTCTGCTTCAGCTAGGGCTAATTGTTTTAGCGTACGTGTCGCTAAAAATGGTGCACTCGTTGTTCCATAGGTCACAGTTGACAACTCAAACGTTTTTATTGGTTCGTCCATGTTCTCTCTCCACAGAATGCGCTGAAGTTTACGCTGATCTGGATTAATCCAAATCATTCGATACATTTTTTGCACATCCGCAATGAATGCAAATATGTGCTTTCTAAAGCGAACCATTATTGAAAAAAGATCAATTTGAGCAACTCCCCCATTGTATTGTAGAGAGTTTAAAGAATAACCATTTGTAGTTGCACTCGACGCATTAAAACTACTCTAAATTTACTTGTTTTTTTATCAGAGCGATAAACACCAAGATGTGGTATGAAATACATTCCACACTCCTCTTTCTCATCTACCTCTTGCATATGGCCTAGCTGTTTATACTCTTTTAAAAAATCTCTATATAATTTTAAATAGTTAGGCTCACGTTTTAATCTATTCCATAAAGAATTTAATTTTTTAAGGGCAATATCTTTTGACTGGCCTAAACAATAAACAATTTGGATCCTTTTTAAATGGCATAGATACTATACATCTTCCCGTACTATCTCTAGCATGATTTTTTGAAAATGCTCCTCACAAATTATCGTTTCCTTATTTTTTATTGTCTCAGGTTCAACATTTTCGATTTCCCAAAATCTCCTCATTGTCTTTTCTAAATCGACATTATATTTGATTAATCCATAGTGAGGTTTATTTTCACTAGAAACTGGAATACTCCCACTCGCAATATAGCCGTTGGCTGTATTCTGAAAAATTAATTTTGTATTTAAAAGATTTGTTAGTCCTGGTAAAAGAATTTCATAAAAGATTTCTGCTCCCAACAATAAATCAATATTTCCCGGAATGTTGAAATTTTCATCCGCTAATTTCTCTCTACTGAAATTACCCAAACTAACGTTAAATGGTTGAGAAGGAATCATATCCGTAATTCGCGGCACTAAAAAAAAGTCTGCATTAGTTTCATAACTATTTTCTCTATTTGCAATTGTTGCATTAACGCGCGATTTAATCGTTAACTCTGAATTATTTAATCCTGAAACTAAAATGTTTATTTTCTCATTTTTAAATTGAGTCTATTCATACACTGTTGCGAAATAAAATTGCGTGTTGAACCACCGTCCAATAGCGCTCCGACCTCCTGCATTTTTCCAAAGGAATCTCTAATGAAACAAATCGCGGTTGAAAGTAAAATGGATTTCGATTTTACGTAACTCGTTGCAGTAAACAGATCTCCTACACCCTGAGAAGAAGACGCCTCTTTCGAAATCTCCCCTATGTAATTTATGGGTTTGAACACAGACGCCTTCGCTGAAAGTTGACTCATCGAGTATTCCTCTGTTTCCTGCTCTTTCTGCACCCCCCAATGAAGAAGGTTGAATGACCCTTTCACTGCTAAAATTTGGGTCTCCCGAGAAACACAAAGAAGAATGATGCTTTTTTTGGCAGCATTTACAAAGTACTTTAAATTTACAAAACTTGACTCTATGCAAATTTAAACAATTAAAATACAAGGAATTATTTTTAACAAGTTCTACCCGTTTATTTACTGATAAATGCTCATACTGAGGACATTTATTTAAAAAAAATGA